GTCCTCTCCTCTCTGCTGCCAGCTGCAGAAAGCCTACCTCCCACCGCCGACACCCTGTCCAAGTCGGCCGACGACGATAAGGGGAGACATGACGCGCTACCTTCGGCGCCGCGCATCGGCATCGTCAACGGTCGACCTGCCGCATCTTCTGAGGATGGCGCACCTGGTATGCAGAAACCGGCGCATGGTATGCAGAAAACGGCAGGGGAGCAGTTGACAGGGGAGCAGATCAGCGGCAGCACGTCGAGCAACGTTGTGGAGGTCATCGGCGAAGTTGCAGGGGAGTCATCTAGAGACAGTTCTTCGAGCGACTTAGTGGAAATCAAGCCGCCGACACGGCATTCCACCCGCTCCAACTTTGGTGTGCCTCCAAAGAAATGGGCCGATGTGTGCCCGGTATTCGCTAACACACTTCTCGATGATGCAAATGCGGCTACCACGCTGCCAGAACTGGATCCCGATGTGCCCGCTAATCCTGAACGCCGGTGGGATATCGGAACGATGACAGTCAAGGAAGCGCTTGCGAGCTGGAAGGGGAAGGCGGTGAAAGCGGTAATGGACGAGGAGATGCGTAGCATCCTCACCAATGGAACATGTGAGTTGGTGCCTCGACCGTGCTGCGTCAATGTCATGAAGAACCGGTAGGTTCTTACGACAAAGTACAACGCTGACGACACGGTCGCTCGCGAGAAGGCACGGCTCGTCGTAAAGGGATTTACGCAGATTTATGGCGCTGATTACAATGAGACGTATTCCCCGGTTGGCAGCTACGTCGCACTGCGCATTTTCCTCTCTATCGTCCCAGTACTCGATCTACACATCATACAAGGACATGAAAAACGCATACCTGCAGAGCAAACTGGACCGCGTTCTGTACATGGAGTAGCCATCGCACTACAACGACGGTACATCTCGCGTCTGCAAGCTTCTGAAAAGTTTGTACGGGCTCAAACAGAGCCCCCTGCTGTGGTATTCGGAACTCGACAACGTACTCATTGGCGGCGGATGGAGCAAGAGTCAGGAGGACGAAGCGCTCTACTTCAAGTTCGGTGCTGATGGAGTCAGTTGCTGCCTGCTCGTCTACATTGACGACTTGCTCGCAGCAAGTAGCAGCCTCAAGATGCTGAAGGACCTCCGTGAGCTTCTGCAAAACACATTCGAGCTGCGGAAAATTACCCCCGTGCAGAAGTATTTGGGGCTGGAGATTGTGCGCGACAGGTCTGCGCGAAAGCTGTGGCTGTACCAAAGTGCATAAGTGGACAAACTACGTCGCCGTTTTGTGGGCGAAGAGCAGACAGGTCGTCGCCCGAAAATGCCTATTTCGGTCGACGCGTACACCGAGCTAACATTTGATGACGGGGAGTATCAGGCTCGTGTAGAGGAAGAGCATCGCCAGAAAGTAGGTTCGCTCCAGTTTGCCGCAACCACGACCCGTCCTGACATCGCATACGCATGCAGCAAGTTGGGCTCGGGGTTGACGATTCGCAGTGACCAGCACTGGAGGGAGCTGGACCGCTGCATTGACAACGTGGTGGACACCCGCGATTTCGCCCTCAAGTTTGGTGTTGGACTGGATACTCTGCGCCTGGTGGGGTATGCGGATTCCGATGACGCGGGTGACCGACAGACGCGCAACAGTACTAGTGGATACGTTTTTGTGCTTGGCGGAGCTGCAGCTTCGTGGGCAAGTCAGAGGATTAAGTGCATGACGTTATCCTCAACGGAGTCCGAGTACATTGCAGCAACGGAGGCCGGCAAGGAGGCACGCCGTTTGCGCTTTCTTCTCGCCGAATTTCGGCTTCTAGATGCTGGGGTGCCGACCGTCATCCACGTGGACAACTCATCTGCGATTGCGATTGCGGAAGGGTTAGGGCTCAAGGGGAGACTCAAGCACATGGAGAGGCGGCACATCTGGCTGTAGCAGATGGTGAAGCGCAACAAACTTGGGCTTACGTACATCCCAACAAGCGAGCAGCCCGCGGACTATCTCACGAAGGCATTGCATTCTCCGGCATTCAAGCGCTGCTCTGTTGCCGTTGGGCAAGTCAATCTTGCAGAAGATGCGCGTGACAACGCTTAGGATTAGGTGCCATGTCCTTCAACATCGCTGGTGCGGTGAGTATGCGTGTGCGGAAAACACGCGGACGAGTATCAGGATCGTCACCCTGTTGTACTGTATTATTTCCTTTCGTTTTGTGTGGTGTGATAACTCCTCAGTTGCCCAGGCACGAGCAGGGCAGGGGAGTGTTAAGGCGAAGCCCTGCACGCGCTTGGTCTCGCGTGTAGCAGCCCTATGCGGAGTAGTGAGACTTCGCATACCGAATACCGGTTTCACCTGTATTGCGGTATTTGCCATATACACTCCAATCTGTGCAATTCGCTATGCACAATCCGACATTGGACCAGGGAAGGGACGACATTGCACAAACGCGTATGTGCAACTGTCAGTGTTGCAAGAACCTGCGCAACTACTCCTGGGCAGGTAGAAATTCACCTGATGGTATTTTCACCTAGCGGTGCCAACCTGGAACCGCATACTAGAGTAGGTGCTTGCACGTTCTTCTTGAACAACATTCTTCATGTACAACGTATTCGTAGAACGTTTTTGCACACGTCACTATGCTTCTCTATAAGGTTCATGTTGTTTTTGTTGTAGTCAATCAATTAATGAAGTTATTTCTTTCCGTTACTGCATACCAAGTTGGCATCAGTATTCGGTTTCCACAAGTCGGAATTCGGTTTACAAGTATCCGCTTTGCAACTCTGCGCCTAGGCTCTCCCACAATCGCCTATTTTCCGCACATGTATCCCACTTGCTCACACAGCGCCAGAAACCCGCTGGTGTAATATTGGACGGAACTGCGTTGGCGCCAAGTGCGGAGCTCTGACTCGCCGCGATCGAAGCCGCGATTGGCTCAAATCGAGCGCGCAGACCTGCGCACCACATTAGGGAACCTCCACGAAATACGACGGCGCACAGGGTCCGGTTTGTCCTTCCCGTGTCGGTAGAGTCGCGTAGTCGTTCGGCTTTGTGACGATGACACGCCACCAATCCATGGCGGGTCCTCGCAACAGTGATACGGCGTAGCGAATCTTCGCCGTATCCTCCGAGACGTAGTTGGCGTAAAAAAACACGTTCATCATGAACAACCACGCCTGAACGGTTGGACCATCCCGTTGACTCGGGTCAAAACATGGCGGACGCTGCGGCTTCAGCGGCATCGTTGACGGTAGTGCCGAATCGTTGGTCGGTGCCGAAATCGTGGCGCGAGGCTGGTTCCTGGCCGCATTCGTCGCTTCGGGGTGTGTCGTGCCGTGGTCGTCGTCGTCTCCGTCATGGCGGACGACGCCATCATTGGCTGCGCTCGCGGGTTGCCCCAGACTTCCTTGTTGCGATGCCTGTGGTGCGGGTTGTCCCGGAGTGCCAGGTGCTTGTGACTGTACTTGTTGTGCTCGTGCGACGTCATTTTGCAGGGACGTGCGTTCCGTCGTCAGCGCCGCGATTTCTTCCGTGCTCTCATGCAGTTGGCGCAGCAATTCATTCAGGCGGTCCTGCGTAAGTATAGTGACGTCGATATGTTCAGCCATTGCGAAGGGTGTCGGCTCAGATTAGTCTAGGCGCAGTCGTGGTTGCACGCGTTTATGAGAGAACGCGAGGACAGCGGCTCCTAGGTGCTAAGGGGCGTGAGTCCCTTCGAGTGAAAAATCAAAAGTTGATTTCATGGGGTGCGGAGATGCGCGGTCCGAAAGAAAGTGGCTCTGATAACCAAGTGTTACGGGTGCAATGGATCGAGGTAGCGAGGATTCCACTCAAGGTGTCAAATTACTACAAAATGTGAGAAGGCATGAGCGAACATTTGTATGCGAAACATGGAAACGGTAACGCGGTGCGTGCGAGCTAGCTAGTGCTAGGCTGGCATCGAAGCTCGGGCTAGTCCCGAAGCGTAGGCCGACATGGCCGGGCCAGCGGTGCATGGTTTGGTGAAACAGTTCGCGCGAAGTCGGCGAAGCCCCGTTAGCAGTAACGGGCGAACAACGGCTGCTGCTGTACGCTATGTTGGAGGTAAGGAATGTCAGAGAAAATTCCTTACAATAATGGAGAGTCCATCAGAGTAGAACTTTGGTGTCAAAACGATTCTTGTGTGGAATGCTATGGCGGGGGAAGAGGCCGAGGAGGAGGGTCAAGACCAGGTACGCCCCAAGCCGAGGAGGTTCGCCTTACATACAAGCCCAAACCTGTTTCGTTTTGCTTTGATAACAGCCTGGTAGGCTGTGGTGGTTACAGGTCAAATCTATTTGCCACCTGGCCTGTTCCTCCGCACGAGCCACCTGCGATTGGCCTCACCCAATAGTCAGCCCCAACCTCTGGGAGCCCCCAAGTCGAAGCGCTCTAATCGTAGACCGTTCGATAGACGATATCATAACAGAGTTCATCTTAGGAGTTCATCTCTCGTGCCCTGAGTCTCACCTCACCAACCAAGCAGCAGCGCTCTCCAGCTGTGAATCTCGCCTTGTGACAGCAGCGCACCGCAACCTTTCATCACGTTGGAGAAGGTGGTGGTTGACTCGGTTCGGAACGGTTTAGAACGGGAAACAACAAAATGTATCGGTTTGGAGAGATGCCACCACAATCAGGTACCCACCACACACCAACAGCATGTCTCCTCTCCACAATCCCAAGAAGCATTTCGTCAGGAAATGTTTCGTCTTTCAAGGCTACGCTGTCAGGATAATTTCAAGGTCTAGAGTGCTTCAGGCCTGTATTGTGTGCCAGCATTGAATGTGACGAGCATATTTTATTCTTGTTTTGTTGGAGCCAGACGTTTTCCCAGGTCTGGGTTGCTAAGTTCCTTCGCGGATTTCTGACTGAATACTCCAGTGTTGAACTTTGGCGCCTGTGCACTTCTCGTATTTGGGTTCTCCATCCTCCGCTTTGTCAGACGCATATGTTGACATTTTCCTAGGGTTGACTACAGCTTTCTCTTCAAAGTTGAGTCAAAATGAACCGCGCCAAAGCCGGTCGCAAAAAGGCCGAAGGGGGTGCCAGATCGTTGATCCCCTGTATAGTCTTCCTCATTTCCGCTGCGTGCGTCATTTTGGTCATTTCGTACACCGGCGCAAACATCGCCACTAAAACATCCGCGCAGCCCGGCGCAAAGAACCCGCGCGGAGGCGGGGAAAGCGCGGACGTCATGGAGGAAGGCGGGGGGGAGGGTGATGACGCGGGGGAAATTTCGTTCGTAAAGGGTGGCGTAGGCGCGGCGCCATTCCTGCCGGATTTCGATCTGAGCCGTCCAGTGGAGCACGGGCCGAAGGGGAAGCGGTTGAGTAAAGAGGAGCAGGAGTACGTGAGCGCGGAGGCGGAATACCAGGTGAGAAATAATGTTTAGCCCGGAATAAAAAATCGACATTTCGGGAAATGCATCAATATGAGACGGTCTGATCGGCAATGCGGAGGAGCAGGAGTGTGTGAGCGCGGAGGCGGAATACCAGGTGAGGAATCTGAAGTTATGTTGGATGTTGTTCTCGAAGCGTCGATCTGAGACAGCCCGATGACGGAAAGATGAATTCAGAGCAAGAGTAGGTGAGCGTGGAGGCGGAATATCAGACGAAAATCGCGACTCAATTCGTACGCGTCTAAATGCGCCGATTGGATACATTGTGAGGGAGATGGAGGAGGGGAAAATGTGAGCGCGGAGGCGGAACACCAGGCGAGAACTAGGAATAGTGCCAGTTACAGATTGCGATATCAATGTATATGTGTCAAAGTGTCACTGTCAGGTCAGGGTTATTTTCAGGGAGAAAGGAACTGTTCGGGTGGGAGAGTAAGAGGCGCTGGCGGTGGAAAGACGGAGCTTGATTTAGATGTCAGATATCAGTGTCTTGGGAGGAACGAATCTTGCAGGTGTTGCGTTGCGTGGCCTTATGTGTGTCAATGCTACATGCACCTTCACCTTATAGGTTATTGTTGTGACTTTTGAGTCGACTCAAAAGTCTTATGTGTGTCAATGCTACATGCACCTTTACCTTATAGGTTATTGTTGTGAATTTCATTGTCCGCTTCCACCAAACCCCCTTCCCCCCCCCCCCTCCCTCCCCCCAAACCCCCCTCCACTCCCCTATCTTCCTTTCTCCTCCGCCTCCTTCCCCAGATGCGTCTGGCGCGGCGGAACGAGCTGACAGGGGGCAAGCGCCCCGAGCCGCCGTTCCCGCGGTGGAAGCCGGGCAAGATCAAGGAGGTGTTCCTCACGCCCACCTACCCCTGCAAGCGCGCCGAGCGCCTGGGGGGCACGGGGGCGGACGGAGAAGGCGGAAAGGTGAGGGGGGCGGACGAAGGGAGGGGCAAGGTGAAGGTGGTTGGTAGGTCTGATCTGAGTGTGATGGATGATGGTGAGAAGCAGCCCTGGGTGGGAAAGGCCTTGATGGGAAGCCGGGCAAGATCAAGGAGGTCTTCCTCACGCCCATCTACCCCTGCAAGCACGCCGAGCGCCTGGGGGGCACGGGGGCGGACGGCGAGGGGGAAAGGGGCAGATTTGGTGTTGATGGGGTAACTCTACTGGTGGAGAAGGCCAAATGGACGAGTGAGAGATGAAATCTGCCCTTGAAATCTGTTTCCTTCTCCTTTTGCCCTTGACCCTTCCTCACTATCGCCTTCCTCCCCCTCCGCATCTTCTCTCAATTTCCAGTCTACCTCTAAATCCCCTCCCCGGTCCCTGTCCCCATTACCCCGTTCCCGTCCTGCCCCACCCTGCCCCCAACGCTGTTCCCCCTCTCCCCTGTCTTTGTCCCCGCCCGCCCCCGCCCCTGTTTCCCCCACTGGCAGTGGGTGTGCAACATCCGGAAACTGAGAGGGGGAGGCAGGAGGCCTATCGTGTTCCCATGCCCTTATCCCGTCCCGCCCTGCCCCTGTCCCCATGCCCCGGTTCCCCCTCACCCGCCCCGGTTCCCCCTCACCCGCCCCTGTTCCCCCTCACCCGCCCCGGTTCCCCCTCACCCGCCCCTGTTCCCCCTCACCCGCCCCGGTTCCCCCTCACCCGCCCCTGTTCCCCCTCACCCGCCCCGGTTCCCCCTCACCCGCCCCGGTTCCCCCTCACCCGCCCCTGTTCCCCCTCACCCGCCCCGGTTCCCCCTCACCCGCCCCGGTTCCCCCTCACCCGCCCCTGTTCCCCCTCACCCGCCCCGGTTCCCCCTCACCCGCCCCTGTTCCCCCTCACCCGCCCCGGTTCCCCCTCACCCGCCCCGGTTCCCCCTCACCCGCCCCGGTTCCCCCTCACCCGCCCCGGTTCCCCCTCACCCGCCCCGGTTCCCCCTCACCCGCCCCGGTTCCCCCTCACCCGCCCCGGTTCCCCCTCACCCGCCCCTGTTCCCCCTCACCCGCCCCTGTTCCCCCTCACCCGCCCCTGTTCCCCCTCACCCGCCCCTGTTCCCCCTCACCCGCCCCTGTTCCCCCTCACCCGCCCCTGTTCCCCCTCACCCGCCCCTGTTCCCCCTCACCCGCCCCTGTTCCCCCTCACCCGCCCCTGTTCCCCCTCACCCGCCCCTGTTCCCCCTCACCCGCCCCTGTTCCCCCTCACCCGCCCCTGTTCCCCCTCACCCGCCCCTGTTCCCCCTCACCCGCCCCTGTTCCCCCTCACCCGCCCCTGTTCCCCCTCACCCGCCCCTGTTCCCCCTCACCCGCCCCTGTTCCCCCTCACCCGCCCCTGTTCCCCCTCACCCGCCCCTGTTCCCCCTCACCCGCCCCTGTTCCCCCTCACCCGCCCCGGTTCCCCCTCACCCGCCCCGGTTCCCCCTCACCCGCCCCGGTTCCCCCTCACCCGCCCCGGTTCCCCCTCACCCGCCCCGGTTCCCCCTCACCCGCCCCCGGTTCCCCCTCACCCGCCCCGGTTCCCCCTCACCCGCCCCGGTTCCCCCTCACCCGCCCCGGTTCCCCCTCACCCGCCCCGGTTCCCCCTCACCCGCCCCGGTTCCCCCTCACCCGCCCCGGTTCCCCCTCACCCGCCCCGGTTCCCCCTCACCCGCCCCGGTTCCCCCTCACCCGCCCCGGTTCCCCCTCACCCGCCCCGGTTCCCCCTCACCCGCCCCGGTTCCCCCTCACCCGCCCCGGTTCCCCCTCACCCGCCCCGGTTCCCCCTCACCCGCCCCGGTTCCCCCTCACCCGCCCCGGTTCCCCCTCACCCGCCCCGGTTCCCCCTCACCCGCCCCGGTTCCCCCTCACCCGCCCCGGTTCCCCCTCACCCGCCCCGGTTCCCCCTCACCCGCCCCGGTTCCCCCTCACCCGCCCCGGTTCCCCCTCACCCGCCCCGGTTCCCCCTCACCCGCCCCGGTTCCCCCTCACCCGCCCCGGTTCCCCCTCACCCGCCCCGGTTCCCCCTCACCCGCCCCGGTTCCCCCTCACCCGCCCCGGTTCCCCCTCACCCGCCCCGGTTCCCCCTCACCCGCCCCGGTTCCCCCTCACCCGCCCCGGTTCCCCCTCACCCGCCCCGGTTCCCCCTCACCCGCCCCGGTTCCCCCTCACCCGCCCCTGTTCCCCCTCACCCGCCCCGGTTCCCCCTCACCCGCCCCGGTTCCCCCTCACCCGCCCCGGTTCCCCCTCACCCGCCCCGGTTCCCCCTCACCCGCCCCTGTTCCCCCTCACCCGCCCCGGTTCCCCCTCACCCGCCCCGGTTCCCCCTCACCCGCCCCGGTTCCCCCTCACCCGCCCCGGTTCCCCCTCACCCGCCCCGGTTCCCCCTCACCCGCCCCGGTTCCCCCTCACCCGCCCCGGTTCCCCCTCACCCGCCCCGGTTCCCCCTCACCCGCCCCGGTTCCCCCTCACCCGCCCCGGTTCCCCCTCACCCGCCCCGGTTCCCCCTCACCCGCCCCGGTTCCCCCTCACCCGCCCCGGTTCCCCCTCACCCGCCCCGGTTCCCCCTCACCCGCCCCGGTTCCCCCTCACCCGCCCCGGTTCCCCCTCACCCGCCCCGGTTCCCCCTCACCCGCCCCGGTTCCCCCTCACCCGCCCCGGTTCCCCCTCACCCGCCCCGGTTCCCCCTCACCCGCCCCGGTTCCCCCTCACCCGCCCCGGTTCCCCCTCACCCGCCCCGGTTCCCCCTCACCCGCCCCGGTTCCCCCTCACCCGCCCCGGTTCCCCCTCACCCGCCCCTGTTCCCCCTCACCCGCCCCTGTTCCCCCTCACCCGCCCCTGTTCCCCCTCACCCGCCCCTGTTCCCCCTCACCCGCCCCTGTTCCCCCTCACCCGCCCCTGTTCCCCCTCACCCGCCCCTGTTCCCCCTCACCCGCCCCTGTTCCCCCTCACCCGCCCCTGTTCCCCCTCACCCGCCCCTGTTCCCCCTCACCCGCCCCTGTTCCCCCTCACCCGCCCCTGTTCCCCCTCACCCGCCCCTGTTCCCCCTCACCCGCCCCTGTTCCCCCTCACCCGCCCCTGTTCCCCCTCACCCGCCCCTGTTCCCCCTCACCCGCCCCGGTTCCCCCTCACCCGCCCCTGTTCCCCCTCACCCGCCCCGGTTCCCCCTCACCCGCCCCGGTTCCCCCTCACCCGCCCCGGTTCCCCCTCACCCGCCCCGGTTCCCCCTCACCCGCCCCGGTTCCCCCTCACCCGCCCCGGTTCCCCCTCACCCGCCCCGGTTCCCCCTCACCCGCCCCGGTTCCCCCTCACCCGCCCCGGTTCCCCCTCACCCGCCCCGGTTCCCCCTCACCCGCCCCGGTTCCCCCTCACCCGCCCCGGTTCCCCCTCACCCGCCCCGGTTCCCCCTCACCCGCCCCGGTTCCCCCTCACCCGCCCCGGTTCCCCCTCACCCGCCCCGGTTCCCCCTCACCCGCCCCGGTTCCCCCTCACCCGCCCCGGTTCCCCCTCACCCGCCCCGGTTCCCCCTCACCCGCCCCGGTTCCCCCTCACCCGCCCCGGTTCCCCCTCACCCGCCCCGGTTCCCCCTCACCCGCCCCGGTTCCCCCTCACCCGCCCCGGTTCCCCCTCACCCGCCCCGGTTCCCCCTCACCCGCCCCTGTTCCCCCTCACCCTGTTCCCCCTCACCCGCCCCTGTTCCCCCTCACCCGCCCCTGTTCCCCCTCACCCGCCCCTGTTCCCCCTCACCCGCCCCTGTTCCCCCTCACCCGCCCCTGTTCCCCCTCACCCGCCCCTGTTCCCCCTCACCCGCCCCTGTTCCCCCTCACCCGCCCCTGTTCCCCCTCACCCGCCCCTGTTCCCCCTCACCCGCCCCTGTTCCCCCTCACCCGCCCCTGTTCCCCCTCACCCGCCCCTGTTCCCCCTCACCCGCCCCTGTTCCCCCTCACCCGCCCCTGTTCCCCCTCACCCGCCCCTGTTCCCCCTCACCCGCCCCTGTTCCCCCTCACCCGCCCCTGTTCCCCCTCACCCGCCCCTGTTTCCCCCACGGGCAGTGGGTGTGCAACATCCGGAAACTGAGAGGAGGGGGCAGGAGGCCTATCGTGTACAGGTGAGGTGATTGAAGGGGGTGGGGGTACTGAAGGGGGTGGGGAGCGGAGAAGGTGTGTGGGGGGGGTGTGTGGGTAAAGAGCGAAGGGAGAGTGGAGGGAGAGACAGTGGGCGTGTGACATCTCGAAACTGAGAGGGGCAGGGAAGAGGGAAAGGTGTGGGTAAAGGTTAGGGGAAATTAGGAAGGTGAGGGAGGTGGGGTGGGGAAAAGGTTGGGGGGGTGGTGATGGGAAAACCGAGGGGAGTGGGGATTGGTGGGGAAGAATAAGAGGTGGAAGAACCGTGTGAGGGAGGGGGAAATCAAAGAAAGAAGGAACAGGAAGCGGAAAAAGACCCTTTAGATAGATTTGAGTTTACTCAAAACTAGACCCTTTAGATAGATTTGAGTTTACTCAAAACTAGACCCTTTAGATAGATTTGAGTTTACTCAAAACTAGACCCTTTAGATAGACCTTTTCCATCTCGTTTCCCTCTTCTCCCTCCCCTTTCTCCCTTCCTTGCAGTGTGGGCAGTGCAGGGGAAACCTCCTTCGAGCAGGCTGTGAGGGAGCGGCTGCGCACCAAGGCGTTCACCTTCGACCCGTTTCTGGACGACCAGCAGGCAGCAGCGCTGCGAGCCAAGCACCTGCTGCGGTACATCCCCATCGGCCTTGGTGCGGGCAAGCAGCTCTCTGCTTTACGGCGGGGGGCGCCGGGGAAGCGGTTTGCCACGCTGGCCCAGCTGATGGGGAAGCTCAACCACTCGCATATTGACGTTCTCAAGGTGAGTTTGTGTGCTCAAACGTCTTATAACGAGGACACGAATTGATGGTTCAAATGGAGGGAGGGTGTGTATTGGCATGGCTTACATGAGGCCAAGCACCTCCTGCTCTACATCCCCATCGGCCTGGGCGCGGGCAAGCAGCTCTCTGCTCTCCGGAGAGGGGCGCCGGGAAAGCGGTTTGCCACGCTGGCTCAGCTGATGGGGAAGCTCAATCACTCTCACATCGACGTGCTGAAGGTGTGTATTGTCTCACGTCACGTCTTATATGAGCCCAAGCACCTGCTGCGGTACATCCCCATCAGGCTGGGCGCGGGGAAGCAGCTGTCGGCGCTCAGGAGAGGGGTGCCAGGGAAGAGTTTTGCCACGCTGGCCCAGCTGATGGGGAAACTGAACCACTCTCACATGGTGCGCCGCAGGATATAGCACCCCAAGCACCTCCTGTGGTACATCCCCTTCGGGCTGCCCTACTTGCCATCCCCCCTCAGCATGTGCCTTGCTCTGTGTCAGTGTCACCCCTTTCTCTCCCCATTTCGCTCCTTTGTCTCAGATCGACTGTGAGCATTGTGAGGAGCGGCTCAGGGAATATCTGCACACCCCCCCCCCATTCCATCAGCCCTTCCCTTGCAACACGTGACTTTCTCTGTCACTGTCCATTCTCTCACCCCCCCATCCCCCCTCCTTTCCCCCTTTTCCCCTCAGATTGACTGTGAGCGCTGTGAGGAGCGGCTCATGGAGGATCTGCTCAACACGTTTGGCAAGGAGAATCCACCAGCAGAGCAAATCCTAGTGGAGATTCACCAGTGAGTCACTCGTTACCATGTATTACCATGCAGTTACTGCAGCTCGAGAACTCAAATTGATGAATGGTACTAATGTAATATTCCATATGGATACACAAACACACATGTGATCTGCAATATCCTGCTGTGTTCCCTTGTTGGTTACAGAAGCACGAGTTTACTCATGCTCTATACCCCCTGTCCCCCACACCCTTCCACGCCCAATCAGGATTCGCCACGTGGCCAGGACCACGCAAGTCCTCTTCCCATTGGAGGACATGGGTTACCGCCTCTTCAATGCAGAGGCCAACCCACGCTGTAACAGCTGCTACGAACTCTCATTTGTTCATGAAAACTTCTTAAAGCCCAAATCCATGTTTCCGACTCCTGAGGCTCCTGCTACTGCCGGTGATGCTGCTGGTGCCGGGGATGCTGCTGGTGCCGGGGATGCTGCTGCTGATACTGCGGCTGATACTGCTGAAGCTGCTGCTGATGCGGCTGCTGACGCTGTTGCTGCTGCCGCTGCGGATTCAACTGCAGAAGATCCTGCAAGTAATGCCAACCCTGGTGGCGATGCAGGGGGTGAAAGCCAATAACTGTTTAGGTCCAATTGATTTGGCGTTTCATTGGCTGTAGTGACAAAGAGTAGCAGGTAAAGTTGCAGTTTCAGGAACCAAGGCTGTAGTGACAAAGAGTAGCAGGTAAAGTTGCAGTATCAGGAACCAATAACAGAACACAGGCTTACAGGTTTCCAGAGTTAGTGACATGCAGTATCAGTAAGCAGTTATTTTGTGTCATTGCACAAAACTGTTGGTGCCAACACCAAGTACACTAGTTGGTGTATGACACAGCTCATCCGCGGATGAGGAGGATGGTGAAGAGCACCCGTATGAATCCTCTAGCGAGGAAGCCAAAAGCGATTCCTTGCTTTCTTCACAGTTGCGAGTGCCCCCAATACTGCCGAGTCTCGGGACTTCAAAACAGACAGCTCTTTTTGTGCTTCCCTTTGCTGACAGAACCCATGGATGCGACAGAACTCCATCAATGCTCAGTCTCTTCGTCGGGTCGACCTCCATCATCCGACGGACGAGATCTTTCAAGCCGCTCGACACGGACGGCCAAGGACTGACGGCGAAATCGACCGGCAGCAATTCCCTGCGTTCGTTAGGAAACGCGGGCCAGTCGGCGCATACCATCATGTACAGAACCACACCGAGAGACCAGACGTCGGCTTTAAGATCGTGTCCCTGACACGCAAGCACCTCGGGCGCCTCGTACGGATATCTCCCGACCACGTTTCTCAATTCCTTGCCGTTGCGAATCTCCTGAGCCAATCCAAAGTCTCCGATTCGAACCTCAATATCTTCAAGCCCGCAATTGGACTGAAGGTGTTTATCTTCCGCCTCGGAGGGAGTTGTACGAGAAGTGGAGATTGCAGTAGCTTGTTGATGCTGGGTTGTCAGCGCAGATATCGGTACAGATTTTAGGGCCTTGGATGACGTCAGCAGGATGTTTTCGGGCTTGATGTCGCGATGAGCCACGTCGAAGTGGTGGCACCAACGAAGCCCTCTAGCAATCTGAAGAAATATGTGCCTCGCGATCAGTTCATCCAGGCCGTTGGTTTCCGCGATGAGATCGAACAGGTCCCCACTCGTGCAGAGATCCGTCATCAAGTAAAACGCATCGTCGTCTTCGTATGCTTCGCGAAGAGAAAGAACATTCTTGTGGCCCGATAGTAGACTCATTGTAGTCACTTCGTTGTAAACTCCTTCCATTTGGAAGGAGGAAAGCCCTGACTTGAGAATCACCTTGCACGCATGAAGACTTCCTGATGTTCGGTCGACGCATCGCCAAACCCTTCCAGAATTACCCTCACCAATTATGTCAGAAAATGTGAAACGCTTTCGCATCTCGCCAGCAGACGGCAGGAAATGCTCCATTTTTCAGGCGTCGCGCTGGATTTGCAAGAAGTTGTCAGAGAAAGAAGACGAGGGGTTGTGCAAGGGAACTGATTAGGGAAAGTAACGCAAAGGTGCTTGCAATTACCGCGCCCATTCACGAAATCAGCTGCTGTTATATAGGAAGTTTGAAATGAGCGGAAGAGCCGAGTTTCCTGGCGGAAGAATCATCGAATCGTCAGATCCCATGGCTGTCATATCATGAGAGAAATGAGAGGCACACTGGGACCAACGCTTGGAGCGTTGTTTCTGACTGTTGCCCTTTGCAGTGAGCAAGCAAGCATTCTTTCCTTTAAAGCGACGGTGCACATTTGCCACCCAAAACCCAGAACCCTGGCGAACTGTTACTGCGGATGGAAAGTGTCCGCACGAAATCCTGGTTTTCGCCAGCCAGCACTTTCGCGCTGGCAAGCCTGGTTCAAAAAAAAAACTTCTGAACCCAACACTGCCAAAAGTTGCCCGTCGCATGTGCATCAAAGGTTATCCCTTGACTGAGTGGGTTACGAGGTGTGCTTTCAACCCCTTCAAGTCGAAATTCGTTTCCCCCCTCCCCCGCAATTTCGTTTCCCCACGCCCCCGCAATTTCATTTCCCCCTCCCCGTCGAAATTCGTTTCCCCCCTCCCCCGCAATTTTGTTTCCCCCCTCCCCCGCAATTTCGTTTCCCCCCCCTCCCGCCAATCTGTTTCATCCCTCCCGCCATTCGGTTTCACCCACTCCCGCCATTTCACCCCCTCCCGCCACCTACGAAATGCCCGAAGCTCTAGCGGAATCATTTTTTTGTCGCCCCTCGTGAGCCAATCACTGTTTTTCTCCAAACCCCCTTCCCAACATCTCAAGCCGAACCGCGTTGAATGTGCACCCTGGTTTTAAAGCGACGGTGCACATTTGCCACCCAAAACCCAGAACCCTGGCGAACTGTTACTGCGGATGGAAAGTGTCCGCACGAAATCCTGGTTTTCGCCAGCCAGCACTTTCGCGCTGGCAAGCCTGGTTCAAAAAAAAAACTTCTGAACCCAACACTGCCAAAAGTTGCCCGTGGCTTTAAGCTTTTGATCTGGCGGCCAGCTTGCATACATGATCCGATTGCAGGTAAAGATTGCCCTCACATGTCCCATCGAAAACGGTAGTTTCCCCTCATCACCCCACCCAACCGTTCTAGATGGTTATCTGAACCCTGTTTACCGAGCTTCACCCGAAGGAGCTTTTGGGATGCCCACCTGAGGTTGCTGAAGGGGGACTGAGGAGACAGTGGATCAAGGCAGGAGGCGGAGTGGTGTGGCCGTGGTAGGCGAATTCGACATTTTGCATATCTTTTTGCGGTCTGCTGCGAAAGGACTTCGGTTCGGTTGATAAGACTTTTTGTTTTGCCCCACTGCACCACAGTGGTCGAAAGACTGCAGCATGCGATATCGCGGCCACGATTCGAAAAAGGGCAGGAAACAGAATGTATGTCACACATTCTCCAATCGCCTTGCTGGAAAACATGTACACTACAGACAGGAACTCCTGTGTCTATCGTTGGATTGTGTTTGTTGTAAGTTGTAACGGATTGGTTCTGGTTCTCGATTCAAACGCCACCAGCAGCATGTCAGGGCTTGGACAGCTTGTCCAACGTCTTTCCCACCATGCTGAGTTTTTATGGAGACTTTTGTTCTGTGCCTTTCTGCAGCCCATGGCATCCACTCTGGCAGCAAGAAATGTCGCTAATGATCCTGAGCTGGATTCTCACTCTGCGGTTTTGGACATTGGTTCTGTGTCCTCAGCTCACTTGCATTATCCTGTGTCGGTTCGCTTGTCAATAATGGAAGATAGTACAAACGACGCATGCATTGTAGGTGTCAGAAGAAATGGCAGGAGTAGCACCAATGAACTGTTGGTGCTTTATTCTTGCCTTCAATATAAAGCTCCCCTTATTCAAGCGTCTCCTGTCTGCGCTATCCATGGGTTATAACGAGGTTTCAAGCAGATGTGCGCAGGGCTCCCCTAATTTTGTCCAAAACCGCAGCACGGTCTCCACCGTTGTTGGAACCTTCTCCCTCATCCTCCACGTCAGACTTGCCCAGATCCAGAAACTGTTCATCGGGCTCTTCGGGAGCGGGTTGCTCCCTGCCGAAAACGGCGAATTTGCAGTCCGCGCGGAGAATGTCGGACACCTGGTAGTCTCCTTAGGGAAACCTTGAATCTTACTGTTCCAAACCGAATTCGATCCCTCTGTCTGCCTGGATTCCTCGGATCCTTGCTGCTGCTGCTTCTGATCCGAGGTCGAGTTCTCGTCTGCGGCCTTTTCAGCGCGAACGGTGTCCGTCAAAAGAGCGGATATCACCGAGTAGTCTAGGTTAGTCCCCTCCTCCATAGCCTCATCGCGATACATTTGTCCTAGGACGCCATGCACGTCCATGGAATAGTGCACCTGCTCCAGCTCGAGGTTAAGATGAACCATCGCGTCGCCGTCGCGCTGCAGCAGCGGGTGCGCGGCGCGCACGCGGATCTCCGCTTCCAGAAGGCCCTCGATGCGTATCGTGTACTTGTCCACATCAGCACTGCCCGGGCCCGACTTCTCGTGCGCGTCCATGGTGACCGTGGCCTGGCCGTCGAAGAGCGATAGCTCGTCGCCTAGCTGCTTGGGGGAAACAGAGAGAAAGAGGGGATGAGAGCGGATGAGAGAACCATTAGAGAGTGTGTGGTGAGATTCAGGGTTTGTTATTTCATCGGTACGTAGGAATCAGTAATTCAAACGGAAACTCACCATGAGCCTGGGAACAAGTGTCCCGTCAACTTCAAGGGCGGCCAAATAGCCCTCCCCTCGCGCCTCTTGCGGTCCGCGGCGCGACACAAATCGCATTGTGTGCACTGGCCTGTCCTTGCGCCCCTTCCCTGTGCTCTCCTCGCCTGCGACCGGTGCTTGCCACACGAACCCGAGCTCGCGGATCCAGACACGGGGCGTGGGCTGGTTGGCGGGGTTGGCGAGCGTGGTGCGGCGGTCGAGGTAGCCGCCGAGGCGCATGTTGATGTGAAGCTCGGGATCAGAGAAGAGGGAAAAGGAGCGCTCCGGGAGGGAGGTTTGCAGAGAGGAGGAGATGGCTGGTAAGTTCTTCTCCTTCCTGGGGGCATCGCCGTTGCACCGACCACCGACGCTGCAATGAAAGCACAGAAAAGAAGATATACATTAGTACCATTGCGGCAGTGCATCATGCAATGAAGCCGCGAAGACGGAGCAAGAGGGAAGAGTAAACAGTTGCAAGAGTTGGAAGGATAGCCGAGATACGGGTAACGTACTATGAGTTCGGGTCCTTAGGCGTGTAGACAGTCCTCTTGATCTCGGCCGAGTTGTCGCTGCTGCACAGGCTTGCAGTGTAGAGGTAACACAACCCACTTTCAACGAAGTAGTTCCAGTAACTGCAGTTCGCCTGTTCTCGGCACTTGTTGCAGCAATCGGCTGGTTGAGCCGCCTTTCCAAGCCTCAGCCCGCCTCGAGCTGCAGGCAACTGAAATTTCTTGGACGAGGAAATATTGAACTTTCCGCGGAAAACATAACGCCCGCAGGTTCCAGCGCTGCAGGCTGCTTGAGGCTCCGCGAACGACGGACAGCTTGCTGCGGACGACGTTCTTACGGAAAAAATGAAGGTAGTCAAAAGAGCCGCGATCAAAACCGAGGTCCGGACAGTGCTAGCAGTGAGTGCCATTTTGTTCCAACGAAAACGATTTATGGCAGGCGTTATTCGCTCGATATAGGCCTTGAAGGATGAACTCGCCGTCACTAATGCGCGTAAGTTGCAAATGCTGGGCTCGCCCTTACGATTTATCTGCTGCTAAACAGATAGGTGTTGGGTCAAACAGTCAGCAGCACAATATGAGGATGAGCCTAACGTTCAAGCTTGAGCAATGGGCATTGGGCATGGCATGTGCTTGACTGCTGGGCGGTCGTTGGTTTGCGATTTGCAATTCGCGCGGCTCGTCCTCCTGCGCTGCGAGCAGTGAAGTGAACAAGCACTGGAGGCGCATCCAATTTGTGAAATTCCCAACCGAAATTTGGGAATGGAATTGCGCTGGCACGCGCAGCGAATATTTGAAATCTTGCCATGACGAAAATTCGCAGTAAGCGTTGACGAATAGAAAATTATCCGCGCGAAATCGATTCTGTTTGTGCAGCATCGATATAGTGTAAGGAAATTTCCTTTTCCTTACTTCGCATCCCTGCTCAACGCGTACATCACTGTAGCACCACAGTCAGCACCGTTACCACTCGCAACCCTCGCATCGACAATCCGCCCGCCACCTTCGCACGTCGCACCCCGACCTCACGGCTCGGCGGGTAACCCGCGCTCGGGGCCTCCGCTTCGACACTTTTCCCAACCTCAGTCCCAGGCCCGTCGCGCGACAACCACAGTCCATTACCGTTACCACTGTAGTTTCGCTATATATTCTTCGCTCATGCCTTCGCTCATTGTACTCTTGCTTCGATAGTGCAATTCTCGTTCGTTCGCTCAATTGCACTCGTAACACTTGGTATTCAGAGCCTACGATCTCTTCTCGGACCGCACCCACACCTTCGCTTCCCCACTATCTCAATTTTTGGGGGGGGTAGACGTCTCTCAGCGACACAGCACCGCCGCTCGTAGTGCTCTCTCGTAAGCACGCACGGCCACGACCGAGGCTCTCGCTGAGCTCGCCCGACACCCCCGCCATGGCCGAATTCACACTCGCCGCATTGACGCAGGAGCAGCTCGACCGTCTGGTGCGCCAACTTGAAGATTCGACGCTCGAAATTGCGACGCTCACGGCGGAACGTGACTCCGCGCGTCAGCAATCAACGATGAACACTCCTGCGCCACCACACGGACCGACAAATGCATGTGCACAATCGGACGAGCCGATCGTCATCTCATCCGGCACACCAACACAAAACACCAGCGTGGGACAACGCTCAGGCGCAGCCAGCGATGGCGTCGCCCAACCGATGCCTGGCATGGGAGGAAACAGGGTCGCACCAAGCCCGCGGGAGCCTCGCGAAGCCCGTCGGCACGTGGAGTTCGCGGCGACAAGTGGCGAACAAGCCATTATGGCACCAATACCACTCAAGCCGCAACGCCCGCCCTGCTTCGACCCGAGCCAGCGTGGAGGTCCGACGGTTCAATCGTGGGTCTTCACGATGAACGTCTTCTTCGACGCGAATTACGTCGAGTCGGACGCAGCGAAGATTCGGTATGCCGTTTCGCTGCTAAGGGGCCCCGCCATGGACTGGTGGCGAGTCATTGTGACGTCGCCACGCGCCTACGAGCCACCGTCGCAAGAGGAAGGGCCCACGGGCCCAGCTGTTACCTGAAGTTCATTCTGCGAGACCGCCCAATACAGCACGTGTGATGCGAGGTGCGCAGGGCTTCGGGCGCGCTTCGAGCCGATCGCGGCTTCTATTTCGGCGCGTCAGAGATTGCGCACTTGGCAGCAACTCGGATCGGTTCAAGACTATACGAGTGGTTTTCTCGCATTATGCGAACAAGTCGGCTACATGCACGAAGCGGAACGGGTGGACCGTTACGTCGGAGGGCTAAAGCCGGACATCTCGCACAAAATCATGCTACGCGGGCTCTCGAACTTCAACGAGATTCTCGCGCTCGCCGAGAAAATCGACATTTTACGCCGTCCGAGACCGGGGTCCTACTATGGACATCGTCCTCGGGGACCGATCGAGCACGCCACTGTACACGCTGTTGCGACGAATGCAGCTGCCACGCCGTTTAAGGGGCGCTGCTTTGCTTGCAACAGGCCGGGCCATCGCAAGAGCGAATGCCCAGAGGAGCTAAGGCGCCGCGGAGCAGAGCAGGGGAGGGAGTCTCCAAGGCAGGGAAACGCCAGCAGTCAGTAGGAATCGGGCCAACTACTGACGAGACTGCCTGCTCGCCCAACCCCACCGACCCTCACCGAGTCACAGTACCGATTCATGCCATCGATCGGACTCGGACGAATAAGGAGGGTACAGCGACGGATTGCCCAGTACTGATCCACGGGAAAATACAGGGAGCAGCAGTGAAGATTTTTATCGACGGAGGAGCAAGCCACAGTTTAGTTAATACCGCAACCGCACGAAAACTGCAGCTGACACTTAGCCGTTGCTTACCGGAGATAGACGCACGCTTAGTCGACGGCACGCCACTGGCCATACGGGAAAAGGTAGAGAGAGTCAAAGTCCGCTGCGGGGGAAATTTCGGGTTTACACAGGAAATGCTCGCAACGACACTGGATGGGCACGATATTTTACTGGGACATGATTGGCTGCGACGGTATAACCCGCGAATCGACTGGACGACGGGTAGCTGCACCGTGCGAAGTAGTGGTAACTGGGTCGAGCTAACTCGCTGGCAGTCGCCCGAGTCTTCAACGGTACACATCAACGCCATCACAATGAAACGGGCAGTCGCTGCTGGAGCTGACGTGTACGCAGTAGACATCGCAGTAGTAGAGGAAGCAGAGCAGCCGAGTGATTTTAAGAAACTGCTGGCAGCCGTACCGCCCGAACTACAGGAACTGTTGAAACGATACCAGAAGGACTGCCACCTCAGCGAGCACATGACCACCGAATCGAATTAGAACCGGGGGCACAGCCAACCGTACAGCGCCAGTTCAGACTGACACAGCCCGAGCTCGACGAACTAAGGAAGCAGTTAGATTACCTGTTAGAGAAAAAATTCATCCGACCGAGCTCGTCACCGTTCGCCGCACCGATACTGTTCACGCCGCAAAAAGACGGGGGGTTTCGCATGTGTATCGACTACAGAGCACTAAACAGGGTAACATTCAAGTCGCGGTACCCCATCCCCCGCGCCGACAAACTTATCGACCAACTGCGAACAGCACGGGTTTTTTCGAAAATAGATTTACGGGGAGGTTACCATCAGATTAGGGTCGAACCATCAGACTGCGCCAAAACAGCCTTCAGGACTAGGTACGGGTCGTTCGAGTACACTGTGATGCCATTCGGGCTGACCAACGCACCGGCGACTTTTCAGATGACCATGAACGAGGCGTTTAGGCCGCTCTTAGATAAATGTGTGATAGTTTACCTCGACGACATCCTGGTTTACAGTCGGGATAAGCAGCAGCACTTAGCAGATCTGGAAGCAGTGTTTAAGGTTTTAGACGAGCATCGATTACTGACCAAGGGTTCCAAGTGCGAGTTCTTCCAGGATATGTTAGAATTTTTTGGGCACGTTATTTCAAAGGCTGGAGTTGAAATCGACCCAAAGAAGCTGGATACGGTAAAAGCGTGGAATCCCCCGACGAACATCACGGAGCTGCAGAGTTTTTTAGGGTTCGTTGATTACGTGCGTCGGTTCGTCCACGATATGGCACGGTTAACTGCCCCACTGACGGACTTACTGCGGAAAGGGGTCGCTTTTACGTGGGGGGAGAAAGAGCATGCTGCCTTCTCTGCCCTGAAAAATGTTCTCTGTTCACCACCCGTCCTGCGCATCGCCGACCCACACCGCCCATTCGAAGTAGTTACCGACGCAAGCGACATCGCCATCGGAGCCGTACTGTTACAGAACTTCGGCAACGGCCTACAGCCCATCGCATACGAGTTACGAAAACTGCATCCGCCCGAGAAAAATTACCCGATACACGACCGCGAAATGCTTGCGATCGTGCACGCGTTTAAAGTGTGGCGCTGTTACTTGACCGGCGCAGACGTGACAGTACGGACAGACCATAAATCACTACAGTACCTCCGCGCACAGCCACACCTCAACCCACGACAGATTCGCTGGCTCAATTTTCTCGAGTCCAATTTTCACTACACGGTCACCTACAAAAAGGGAGCCGCGAACATCGCCAACGCACTAACCCGCCCCACTGCCCAGATCCATGCAATACTACTCGCCCAGACCAGCCCCCTACTGACAGGCCTATTTAACCACGGGTACCAAACGGATCCATTCTTCACAGGAGGAAATTCGCAGCAGTTCGCAGCAGCAAGGGGAGTCTATTACGTAAAAGCCGGGACCGACCGCATCTGGGTGCCCGGGTATACACTGCTACGGGAATTACTGTTACAGGAGGCACACGACGGAGTTACCTCGGGGCATTTCGGGGTAGAGAAAACACGGCAGCAACTGCAGACGTATTATTACTGGCCCGACATGTTGACCGACATACAACGACACGTACCATCGTGTCCCACTTGCCAGCTCATGAAATCATCACGGCAGCGGCCGGCAGGAAAGTTGCAGCCGATACCACCCCCAGAGCGTGCTTGGGAGCAGGTGACGATGGACTTCGTCACGGGGTTACCGGCCGGGGCGAGTGGGAACGACGCGATCCTGGTCGTCGTCGATCGACTGAAGAAAATGGCACACTTCGCAGCCTGCAAAAAATCAATCACAGCCGAAGAAACAGCACGCCTCTTCATCTTCACCGTCGTTCGACTGCACGGGATACCATCAGCGACCGCGACACGAAATTCACCAGCAACTTCTGGCGGAACCTGTGGCAGCAGTTCGGCACGCGACTACAGTTCAGTTCTTCGTACCACCCCGAAACCGACGGGCAGACAGAACGGACAAACCAGACTATGGAGCAGCTCATCAGGGCCACGTGCGACGACCCGACCACATGGGAACAGCAACTGCCACTAATCGAATTCGCGTACAACAACTTGCCATCCGCCACGACCCAACAGTCACCATTTTACCTAAACTACGGACAAGACCCGACAGTACCCATGACCCCGAATCCCGACAACCCAGTACCACGAGCACATCAGTTCGCCGAAGTATTGCAAGCAGCACGGACCCGGGCAGCAGACGCAATAAAAAAATCGAGCATCATCGCTAAACGCAACGCCGACCGCCACCGCAGACCTGTCACTTACCAGCCTGACGACTTAGTTTTACTTGACACTCAGAACCGCCGACTGCCCATCACCCCGAAACTCCGCCCCCGATACTGCGGGCCATTTCGCATAAGCCACATGATTACACCCGTCACCGCCCACCTCCTCCTCCCTGCTGACTGGTACGTCAGCCCCTCATTCCACGTCAGCCTGCTTCGCCCTTACGTCCCGTCCACGAGCCAATTGCCACGCAATCGCCCAGCCAGCATGACAAGACCACCAACTGAACCAATCATCACCCCCGAGAAAATCCTGAGTCACAGAGTTCGCGACCCTCGAGGAGCCCGAAGGATCGAGTTCTTACTCCGCTGGAACGACCGTACACCCACCGAAGACAATTGGGTTCCCCTAGACAGAATCGAAAACCACCCCGTCCTTACCGAGTATCTGTGCAGCCGAAATTTCAGGGATGTACACGCACTTTCGTAAGGAGAACCTCCTTAGGGGGGGGGTAGTGTAAGGAAAATTCCTTTTCCTTACTTCGCATCCCTGCTCAACGCGTACATCACTGTAGCACCACAGTCAGCACCGTTACCACTCGCAACCCTCGCATCGACAATCCGCCCGCCACCTTCGCACGTCGCACCCCGACCTCATGGCTCGGCGGGTAACCCGCGCTCCGGGCCTCCGCTTCGACACTTTTCCCAACCTCAGTCCCAGGCCCGTCGCGCGACAACCACAGTCCATTACCGTTACCACTGTAGTTTCGCTATATATTCTTCGCTCATGCCTTTGCTCATTGTACTCTTGCTTCGATAGTGCAATTCTCGTTCGTTCACTCAATTGCACTCGTAACATATAGCGTTAATAACCTATTACAACGAAGCAACATGTCGAGATGGCCTAGTTGGTCTAAACCGCTCTGCAAGGACTCTTTGTATATACTGTAAATACTATAATTATTTACCCAGGAATATTGTAAATATATTATATTCGAATGCGCTGTATGAAGGTTCCAGTCCGAAATGACCTGGGTTCAAATCCTACTATAGTCATGTTTTCGCCAATGTGTTGCAGCTGCGGATTATGATGTAGATGGTGACTACCTTAGCGTATATTGTACACTCGAAGCTACCAAATGGACTCACTGCTGTAGCGAAGCCAGCTCCAGAAGATTCTGTCAGCACCATCCGTTTTTTATTGGATCCCCAGCCACACGTCAGCCTGTCACTCCCCTGTCCATCTAATTAGAGTTAATTCTCCCACGAATCCCAAGGCTGCCCGAGACACCTTTCCTTCTCCACAGGAGGTGCAAATTTTCCTATCCATGGGAACAGAAAAGTGCGTGCGTGGCTGGATAATTATCCACAACAGCAGTTCCCACCACCACCACCTCGCTGCCTTTACCTTGCCACTTCCACCTGGATCAGCCGTCTGCGATTGGTCGATCGGCAAACTGTGCCAGGAGGGAGGGAATGAAGATCCCTAGGAGGCTTTTCGAGATGCTCCTAGCCTGCTGCTAGCCGCTAATCTCGAGAGTGAGAATTTCCCTTGGGCTTTCCTTCTGCATTTCCTCTGAGATATCCAGGGATTTCATTCAGTTTCCATCCAGAAAAGAGTATTTTCACAAGCGAGTGCGTGGCTCTCTCTTCGCTCGTGTCGTGAAACCTCGTTTCCCTTGCAGATCTCGAAGTCTATTTATTGGTCCTATTTTCCTCCGTCAGTTCAGTGTGAGTTGGTTTTACCTGGCCAGAAATCCATTGTTGGTAGCCTCCGACAATGGAGACGAGCTGCATCTCCAGGTTATCTGCATCAGGACTCTTCCCGAGTCAGTGTCCTGTTCCATCTGCTAACAAAGCGTTAGAGTCGAGAACTCTCAGGACGCAGGCTACGCTACGGAATGTAAGCGTCTCTAAGTTGGCTGGCCCTGCGAGGCCGAATCCAGGTCCACGTGGCATGTCTCCGTCTGCAAAAGGTCACTGTAGGATTATGGCCGTCCAGTCTTCGCCTCTAGATGTCACCGCCAAAGATGCGAGCCCCCCCCAGCCGTTCGGTGCTCTAAGATCAACGGTGGCCACTGCTGTAGCGGCTGTTGTATCTGCTGCTGCGGCATTCCGGGACGCGGCAGAAGCAGTTCCGATAAACGTACAAGAAGCCGCTCAGCAAAGACACGCGGAGGAGGAACGGTTAGAAACGTCGTTTTTCGACGGCGTGCGAAGCAGAGCGTCACCCTCGCTATTGTCACTCGCTGCCATGTCAGCAGCGCCGCTGGCCATCCCCATCAAGAGCTCTCTGACCGCCTTCTTCTCCAACCTTCGTGCGAACCCCACCTTCATGTCGGCTCTTATTGCGTGGGCTCTCGCGCAAATCCTCAAGGTAAGCCGCAATGTTCGTTAAGCCTTGAAGCTTGGTGAGCCTCAAATATTGTGAAGCCGCGAAGCTCATTGATGCATTATTCAGCAATGTCCATGTTCCCACAAGCTCATGTTTCATGCCGTAATGAATGACACGGAAGAAGGCAGACATTCAAAACGAGTGGTAACAACTTATCCTGATTCGTTTCTCCCGCCATAAGTGAAAAATAAAACATTTTTGGCTGGTCCTCACTCGCTCGGAACAGTCACTTCTTGTTTCCTGACTCCATTGCATGACATCCGTCAATCACCCTTACCATCACCTTCCGGATTTCGCCCTGCCTGAATGTGACTGACGCTTTGCCCACCACCTCTCCCTCCCACCTTCTTTTCACCCTTTCCACGTCCGCTCTTTTCCCGGAATCCTTCCATTCCTCCCCATTCACCTGCTCCAGGTGTTCACGAACCTCTACTTCAAAAAGACGTTCGACATCCGAATGGTTGTGTCGTCAGGCGGCATGCCGTCGTCGCACACCGCCCTCTGCGTCGCCGTCACCACCTCCGTTGCCCTGCTGCATGGCGTGGGGGGCCCGCTGTTCCCCGTCTGTCTCGCGTTCTCCTCCATTATCATGTACGACGCCACCAACGTGCGCTACCACGCCGGCGTGCAAGCAGAGGTACGATCTTCACTCAATGTGCAAAGTTTACAGCAGCAGAGGTGTGTGTCAGAGGGGTGGGTAGTGTTGCATTGCATGCTCTTTATTGCTGCTGCAGAGCAGACCCCATCTGCCTCGTGTTCTCGCTCATCATAATGTATAACACCAACAACGCAGGTTCCAAGCAGAGGTACGCTCCTTGCTCCTTCACAGCAGACCCTTTATCTGCCCCGCGTTCTCGCTCAGCATTATGTACGACGCCACCAACGTGCGCTACCACGCCGGCGTGCAAGCAGAGGTACGCACTTCACCCAATGTGCAAAATTTACAGCAGCAGAGATGTGTGCCAGGCGGGTGGTGTTGCATTCCATGCTCTGTATTGCTGCTGCACAGCAGACCCCATCTGCCTCGCGTTCTCGCTCATCATCATGTATAACGCCAACCACGGGGGAGTGCAAGCAGAGGTACGCTTTTTACTGCTGCTACAGAGCAGAACCTTTATCTGCCTTGCGTTCTCGCTCATCATCGTGTATGACGCTACCAACATGCGCTACCACGTGGGGGTGCAAGCAGAGGTACGCTCTTGATTGCTGCAGCAGAGCATACCCCAACTGTCTCGCGTTCTCCCTCTTGATTGTGTATGCCGCCAACCATGCTGAGGTGCAATCAGAGGTACGCTCCTTGCTGCTGCCTTGCAGGCCTCAAAGCAGAAACTAGAGCAATCGTTGCTGTGTAAATATAACCGTACTCAGTGATGTTAACTGACGCAGCAGCAGAGATGCGTGTCAGGTGGGTGGGTGGTGTTGCATGCACCACCGGTATTGTTCCTGCAGGGTGGAGTGACAAAATCAAATACGTGAACTCTCAGCAAGACAGGAGGGAATTGAAATCACGTTCCTTATGAGAGTTGAAGAGTTGGCTTTGGAGCTTTCAGCAGATGACCGAAAACTGATCATCAAACACAGTGCTTGACAAAGCCAGGAGCAGCCTCCTTGGATTCACCAGGAACAACATGCCAGTTCTCACGTACGTTTTGTTTTTCCATAGTTTTGATTCATCCACTGCCTCTTTTTGTGTCTGTTTCCCAGGTTCTGAATGTGGTGGTGGAAGAGATGCTGGAGGGCCATCCAATCAGCGAGAAGAAGCTAAAGGAGCTCCTGGGGCACACCCCCTTGCAGGTGGTTGGAGGCTTCATCCTTGGTGTTGTTACAGCCTTTGTATACCATTACAAGACAGGACAAATGTATGGGTGGGCGTGAGATAGGTAACGTAACTATAGTATGGGGGATGAAAATGTGAGATACGTCCTTCACATCCAGAAATAATTGGGTTATACCTAGTGCTTTCACGGCTTGCTTTTGTGTGTGAACTAGTTTGTGCTTTCCAGCTAGTGCCACTTCAATGTTAGTAACTGATGTGTCAACATAGATCAAGTATTGTGTAAGAAAGCAAACGACTTGAATGCACTAGCTCGATTCGGAACAGTCACGTCTCTTGTTTCTCGCACGTCCTTGTAGCACTAGAAACATCATACCTTGCACAACGGGATCGACGACACGTGGAAATTTGCTTCACGAGCCAACCACATCTGACGGCAAAAAAAAATCAGTCGCAGCAGCAGACGAGTATTTCCGGACCCGCGCCGCTTCAAGCTTTAACGCGATTCGAAAGGAAACAAGCGACTCGGAAATGGGAAATCTCTACATGTCTCTGGCTCGGGGTTGAAATGGGAAATCTCTACATGTCTCTGGCTCGGGGTTCTCTTCTCTGATGGGGCAGAACATTCCCCAAGCCAAACCTTTCCCAACCCAAGCCAACCAAAACCATTTCGTCCAAACCATACCGAACGATGTCTGACCAACTACAACAAATCCACACATAACTCTATGGTAGCTACTGCAGTTGCTTGAACCGAACCCATTTTTGTCATGGCATGGCACCTTCACAGCATACCCATTCATTCCGTACACACCCCTCTTCCTGGCATCGTTCCCGCCGCGTCCGGCACGTGCGGTGGTACAGTGCGACACGCTCCTGCACTCCCTCCGTAATGGCTGTCAGTCCACGTGGAAGTTGCCTGTTCTGGCCTATGGATGGTCGCGACGGGAGTTCCCAAAACGTAGCGCGTCGCAGCCAATCAATCACGCCGAATTTCACAGCCAGCTGGCGTGGCGTGCAGTACAATCACTCGTATCGGATCGCTGCGAGCGTCATGACGCTATGATGGAGGGCAATTCCATGTCCTTATCAGTGCCGTAGTTCTGTTGACTATCGAATTAACTCAGAAACAAAAAAGTTAGGATGGATTGGTGATTTCAGTAGTAATTCATTTGCATTTCCAAGATAGCACTATCCTACTATATTCCTGCTTTGTTAAACGCCGCTCCTGTCTTTTGTTAGTACATTTCAGCACACCAGCTCGTTCCTCTACAAGCAACCGGTTACTATGACGCGTAACCGGCAGCGTTTCGTAGTAATGCTGACGGCCGCCGTCAGCGCCGTCGCTCTCGCATCTCTCCTCCTGCCAGTAACGTCGGAATCTTCTCAGAATACGAATCAGCCGCAACAGCCGCCGCAGCAGGCGCCGCGATGGACGCCGCGTGAGCCGGCGCAATGGACGGCGTGCAACTACTCCACGGGGTGGTGGATCCGCAAGCCGCCATCAGCGCCATCGGCGCCGTATCGGTCCACGTGCCCGTTTCTCCAGGTGGGGAGTTTACCTTGAATCGAGTAAAAAGTCAACTCGGGGTGGTGTTTCCGCAAGCCGCCATTGCGCCTTCTGCGCCATCTGCGCCTTCTGCGCCTTCTGCGCCATCTGCGCCTTCTGCGCCATCTGCGCCTTCTGCGCCATCTGCGCCATCGGTCGACGTGCCCCTTCCTCCAGTGGGGAGGAGTTGTACGACTCATAACAACGCCATTCGCGGCGACGGCACACGTGGCACACGTGGCACACGTGGCACCCATATCATCTGTATCAGAGTACGCACTGTACGAATGTCACGGCCGTACAAGGTCAAGGGTCGTACGTCTGAGCACCTCGCGGTTCCCGTGGTAGCAAGCTATCCGCATTGCGCCTCCCCTCCAGACTCCCCACCCACCCTCCCCTCCTCCTTTCCTTGCCCTCCTCATCCCCGCCCCCCTCGCACCGCACCCATCTCCCTCCCTCTACCACGCTCACTCCACCTCCCTCTCCCCCATCTCCCGTCTCCCTCCCCCCATTTCCCTCCCAACGATTTCCCTTCCCCCCATCTCCCTCTCTCCACAATCTCCCCCCACCTCCCACCGCTGCATTTCCATCGGACGTGGGACCCGTGAATTGCATCAACCGCCACCAGCTTTCCTCCCCTCTCCCCACTCCCCCCATCTTCACCCCCCCGATCTCCCTCCCCCCACCGCTGCATTTCCATCAGGACGTGGGACCCGTGAATTGCATCAACCGCCACCTCTCCCCTCTCCCCTCTCCCTTCCCCCTCTCCCCTCTTCCCCACCTCTCTCCCCCTCCCCGCTTCTCTCCCCACCTCCCACCTCTGCATGCATTTCCATCAGGACGTGGGACCCGTGAATTGCATCAACCAACACTGCCTCCCGTCCCATTCAACCAGCCTCCGGGTTCCCCCTCGCCTGCTTTCCGTTCCCCTCTCCCCTCTTTTTCCACCTCCGCAACTCCATCAGGACGTGGGACCCGTGAATTGTATCAACCGTGCCCTACGGCCCTCGCTCTCCTGGCTGGTAAGACCAATCTCTCCACGTGCCACGGGCCTCAGCATATGGTTTCTGTGTTGACTCACAAGTCACCTGCTTTCAACCTTTCCCCCTTCAACCTTTCCCCCAATTCAATCCCTCCCCCTCCTTCTTCAACACTCTCCCCCTTCCACTTCCCCCCCTCCTAGGGGTATCATTGGCAGCCTGCTTTCAACCTTTCCCCCTCTTCAATCCCTCCCCCTCCTAGGGGTATCACTGGCGGCCTGCCACGTGTCAAGTGCCAGCGTACGGTTTCAGGCCATACCACTTCCTGAAGATGATGCGGAACAGGTTAGATGACCCGGAACAGCTGAGTTGATACGGAACAGGTTAGGGAGGTACGCGAGGGACGACTGAGATGACACGCCAGGGTCTAGTGTTCAGCCAAACTAGCACTGTTTTTTTTTTTTTTTTTTTTTTTTTTTTTACCGATTTATGTTATTCCTATTGCCTACTAGAAAATCTATGTCTCTTGTCGTATGCATCAACCTATCCTGCGTGCGCCAATTCTGTTTCCACCAACCCTCGCGCCTGTCTGCTGCCTTACTTCCCCTCTGCTCCCATGTGGCTCCATATACGTCACTCTCCTTCCCACTTCTGACTGCATCATGTGCACGGGACTGTATCGTGTAAACGTGACTATATCGTGCAAACGTGACTGTATCCTGTAAATGTGACTGTATCCAGGGTGATAGCATCGGTGGGCGATTCTCTCTCCTATCAGAATCTCATGCCATCGCTGCTGTGTCACATCCACGGCGCCTCACCTGTCACCGAGATTCCCAATGATGGTTCGCTGGCCATACAGCACAAACGGAGCAGAGTATATCGAGTAGAGGCGTACAATGTCACGCTTATAAACACGTGGAGCACGTTTCTTAATGAGTACTGGCAAGATGAGCAGGTGGGCAGCCCGTGTGTTTATCCATCTACTAACTATATCATTGTAAACATGTCGCTTACATAAGCATGATGCTTACATTAGTATGATGCTTACATAAGCATGATGCTTACATTAGTATGATGCTTACATAAGCATGATGCTTCCATAAGCATGTCACTTACCACCTCCCACCCCTTATTTCCGACCTCCCACACCTGCAGACCCTCTCGCGCTACAGTAGCGGCAAGAATCGCACGGACGAAGATTCGGTGATCAATCTGGATGGCGTCGATCCGGCGCTTGCCGCCCGGGTGACTAAATACGACGTGCTTATACTGCAGACCGCGGCGCACTGGCAAGCCAAGCCCAACAAATGGCGGCGGTACTTTGTGGATGGACAGGGGAGGCTGGTGTTCACTGAACGGCAGTACATTGCTGCTTTTGAGTAAGTGCATCTTCGCCATTTTAAGCGCCTCAAAAATAGAACAGAGTAAGTGCGAATCCGCATGCCTCATTCTTACGAACTTTTAGGTAAATCTCATAGAATCACTCCATGTATGCTGCCCTCTGCGACCCCCCTCCCCCGCCCCCCCCCTCGCACACTGTCCCCTCTGCTCCCACCCCCCCCTTGTCCCTCCCCCTGCTTCCCTCAAAGACAAGGGAACTCCCATGCCTGTCCCTCCCTTTTCCTTTTCCTTTTCATTAGCAACCCTGCTGAACCGCACCGAACCTGACATGCTTGCCTGATCCCATGCCTCTCCTTTCCCCCTTCATCAGGCCTAGTAACCAGGCGATAGTGACTTTGTTGAACTTAAGCGACCCTGACACCTCCCCTGCTGCTCGCACGCCCGTGCCCTTCTTTCGGTCTGCTCCCGCCCCTTCTTCTCTCCACCCCCTTAACCAACAGGAGGGGTATGCGGGCGATAGCGAATTTGCTGAGCCAAAGCGACTCTGACACCCCCCTTGCTGCACGAACGCCCGTGCCCTTCTTTCTGTCTGCTCCTGCCAAAATCAACCGCTGCAAAAGCCACTCGCAGCCCCTCACGCATGCCCAGGTAGGTTCAGTGCGGTGGGTGCTTTGTAGTATGGAGCACAGTGCGGTGTGATGCAATGTGATTCCGTGGGGTGCTGTGCGGTGATGTGTAGTACACTGTAAGATGGCTCACAAGCACCACCACAACAACTGCTTGTCTTTTCCTCTTGTTGATTTCTCATATCTTTCCTTCCACACACCCTTCTCCCCCAACCCTCGCTGCCACCATCAGGTTCTTCAGACTCGTTATAAGATTCCTCAGTACACTCGGTGGTTTACCTGCACAACAGCGCGCAGTAGCAGGCACGAGAATCCGCCTTCTAGACGTCACCTCCTCCTCTCTCTACCGCCCGGACTCCTTTGTGGCTCTGGAGGGGTGAACAAACGATTGTGTGCATTTCTGCTGCCTGGTGTGCCTGACTCATGGGTTGACATGCTGCATAATATGTTATCTAGACAAGCGATTTTCCGGTCCCTAAGGGTGCTCCAGTCCAGGTAGTGTAGTCTCGTCTCACAGAGGGACTGGAGGGGTGAATGACGACTGCATTTCTGCCTGCCTGTGTGCCCGACTCGTGGGTTGACATGCTGCATATCTGTTCTCTAGGCAAGCTATTTTTTGGGTTCCTAAGGGTGCCTCCGCTAGTGTAGTTACTGTGGTTAGGAAGATGTCCACCGGCATGTATTCAAAGCGAGACCAGTTTATCCATAATGCATACAATAAATAATAAGGGATTGCCTGGCTAAATGTCACCGTTTGTGTGGGTATGATCTTGCACTTCACGTGGAGGAGGGCCGACGCTGCGACCTTTTAAAGAGTAAAAACCGCGAGTGAGACAGCAAAAACTGCAGCCACCACAGGCCAAGGTGAAGCTAGGAAAAAGCTGGAAAGGAGGACCGTAACGTGATTTGCTGGAGGGATGAAGAGTAAGTGGTTCGGCAGTGAGGGGCGGGGGGGGGTTAGGAGGACGAGAAGAGACATGTACACGCGTGGGAGGAGGTTTAGAGGTCGAAGGTGGAGGATTAAGGGGAGGAGAGGAAGGAGCAGGGGGAGAAGGTGGGGAGGGAGGGCGGAGACGGTGCAAGTGTCTTAAGAGAATGACGAGGGCAGCAGCAACTTCTGCTAGGAGGAAGAGGAGGATGAGAGGGAGTGGGTTAAAGGGTGGTTTGCTGCTCCCATTCCCACTCTCCTCGTCGCCACCACCACCACCACTGCGACCGCTGGAGTTATCACCACCACCACTACTGCCACTGTGGTTACCACCACTACCAGAAACTTCACGATTCGCATCACCCGCACCCGTGCCATCACCGCTGCCAGCATTGCCAAACTCGTGCACGTCCCGTGCGTGGAACCCACGCGGAGCCAGCATGCGTGGAAGGGCGGTGCTGTGACAACTGCTAGCCGGTTGCTCTGATGGTAGATAAACGGGAGCACGCCGGATCCCCCGTTTAAAAGCAGCAGGAGAGTGAACGGTAGGTGCAGGTCGTGCAGAGTATGTACTCTCTATAGCGCGTACATCCCTACCAAGGAGCAGGTATTCCCTGTGCCGCATATTACGGGATTTTCCACGTGGCGAAAAGGTGGGTAGGCGTGCGACAGCCAGCCTGACGACTCGGGCGCCCTTTGGAGCATCGGGATTGCCGATTGGTCAGGGAGATAAACTCCGGTATGGCAATATCGCGGCATGCTGCTGCTGCTGTTGCTGCTGCTGCATGCGCTGCCATCATTATAAATATCGGTCTATTTTACTCGGGCAATAAATTGGCCACTGTGAATTTAGGGCAAGCGCTCCTGTGAAGATGCTTCAGGAATGAAGTTACGGAACCCAATGAGAATGTATTATAGCCCTTGGAATAGTCCGAAACGATTCCGAGCGATAGAAATAATCGCCGGTCCGGGATCCACAGCTTGCGCTGACGTGGCATCTTAGCCGCGATGCTGGTGGCCTGGTTAGAGACACGCGGAGCGCCGCGCTTCCGTGAGCCTTGGGAGTACCGACGTGTGTTCGTAGAGCCATGGCGGGTACTAAGGTCTAGACACTAAGTAGCGATGCGGGATTGGACGGACGCGGAGGTGCGCAAGAGGAAAACTGGATTGCGAGAAGCGCGGCGTCTTTGACGGCAGGTGGCTTGTTTAGGAGACGAAACGGTACGAAATAGCTGTGCTGTTCGTTCTGTGGCGAATTCATTAGTGTGTACTCGGTATTGCGGGGCTCGTGTTGGGTAAGAGTCTTTTTTTTTGCAGTACAAGAGACAAAGCGGTACAGATAGCGTCCTGAAGTTACCTCAGTGTCCTGATAGTGTCCCATCCACACATCCCTCCTTTTTTGTCACCTCAGGTTCTTAAAACTCGTTATAAGATTCCTCAGTACACTCGGGGTTACCCGCACAACAGCGCGCAGTAGCAGGCACTCGACTTCACCTTCTACACCTCACTTCGTCCTCTCTCTACCGCCCAGATTCCTTTGTGGGCTCTGGCGGAGTGAACAACGATTGTGTGCCCGACTCGTGGGTGTTGATTGATATGTACCCTAGGACACGACATTGTTGAAGAACGAGTTAACTAGAAGCTAGGGTTTTGGAGAGGCTTAGCAAGGAGAATCATGGAGGGAGGAGTTTGGCCAAAAGGAGGGCTTGATAGTTAGGCAAGAGTACAAGATATATGGGAGAAGGAAGAGAGAGAAGAAGAGGTACACCACCAGCAGTTGATGGTAATAACTAAACTAATACACTAGCAAGCTATAGGCAGTATAAGATAGTGCAATATCAATTAACAGACATGTAGCCCTAGGACACGACACAGCTACTACTTAGACTTGTGATAAGATTCCTCAGTACACTTCGGTGGCTACCCACACACAACAGCGTGCAGTTGCAGGCACTCGAATCCGCCTCCTGGACACCATTTCCTCCTCTCTCTACCGCCCAGACTCCTTAGTGGGCTCTGGTAGGGTGAAACAACGATTGTGTTCATTTCTGCCTGCCCAATGTGCCTGATTGTGGGTTGACAGACATGCTTTATACGGGGTTATATGTTCTCTATAAAATTATATTTCCGGGTCCCTACAGGTGCCTCTGGTAGTGTAGTGAATAGACAAGGATTGTGTTTACAGGCAGGCATGCTTGCAAGATTCGAAATCATTTTGTGAATTGTGCATAATAAATACCACAAGAGGGTAATTGCCAGCTATACATCGCCGTTTGTGTGGGTATGATCTTCTGCTGCATGTGGCTGCGACCTTTTACAGAGTACAACAAACACCAGTGAGACGGCAAACACTACTACTGGCAAAGTGAGGCTTGGAAAAAGGGAGAAAACAGGGTCACGATGAGAGTTGCCGGAGGAGGGTATAGGACCTGGTGCGCCGGTGTGGGGAAACAAGGGTTTACTGGGAGGAGGGACAGCATTTAGATGAGGAAGAGGAGAGCGAGGGGAAGGGGATGGATGGGGAGGATTAGGGGGAGGAGGGAAGGATTAGGGGGAGGAGGGGGGGGATTAGGGGGAGGAGGGCGCGAAGCAGGGGGAGGAGGTGGGGTAGAAGCGGGGAGAGGGGATGAGGGTCTTAAGAGAATGGCGATGGCAGCAGCAGCTGTTGCTGCTAGGAGGAGGAAGAGCCAAGGAGATGGGTTGGAAGGTTCCTTGCTGCTTCCATCGCCCTCCTCCTCCTCCTCCTCACTACCACCATCACGACCACCACCACCGCCACGGCGGTTACCACCATGACCACCACCACCGCCACCACCATAACCAGAGACATCAGGAGTCGCATCGCCAGCATCACCACCATCACCACGGGTGGAACGGGCTGCAACCAATACCCACGCTGGTACCCACGCATACTGATCCTTTGCACTCCCAATGAGAAATGCTCCTACGTAACCGCCGGTCCGTCTCACCGCCCCTCGTTCTGAGGCGGAAATGGGAGCACCAGCAATGGATGTGACGGCATCCGGCCGCTTGCTCTGGTGGCAGAAACGGGAGTACGCCGCATCCCCGCTAAGAACCTGACGTGCAGGCAGGTGCGAAAGCTGGTAGGCGTGCGACGGCCAGCCTGACGGCGCGAAGAGTCCTCTGTTGCATCGGGATTGCCGATTGATCAGGGAGATCAACCCTGGTATGGCAATATTGCGGCATGTTGCCACCGCTGTTACTGCTGCATGCGTTCCCATCAGCATAAATAACGGACTAGATTCTCGGGTTAACAGTTGGCGATTATGAGTTTAGGGCAAGCGTTCCAATGAACGATGGAGGTGCTTAAAAAAAATGTAGGTTAGGAAACCCAATGAGCATATCTTCTAGCCCTTGGAATAGTCCAGAACAATTCCGAGCGATAGTAATAATCGCCGGTCCGGGATCCACAACCTGCGCCGACGTGGCATCTTAGCCGCGACGCTGGTGGCCTGGTTTAGAGACACGAGAAGCGCCGCGCTTCCGTGAGCCTTGAGAGTACTGACGATGAGTGCTCGCAGCGCCATGGCGGATAGTACGGTCTAAAAGAGTTAGTACGCGTTGTGGGATTGGGTCGGGGCGGAGGTACACGAGAGGAGAGCTGGGTTGCGAGAAGCGCGGCGTCTTTGGCGGCAGGTGGCTTGTTTTAGGAGACGAAACGGTACGAAATGGTTATGTTGTTGGCTGTGTTGCAATTTCATCGGTGTGTACTCGGTATTGTGTGGCTCGTGCCGATATTATGATTCTTGTGCTGCAGCTTTAGGAGACGAAACGGTTCAGGTCTTGTTCGATTTATACGCGTTTGTGCCTTGAGATTCTCGAATCCTTGACAAATAATGAAGTTTGCAAAGCTACACTTGAAAGTGTTTTCTTGGGTTTGTCTTAGCCAGCTCCTGAAGTGAGTTCTCTCCGCCTGTAGTTTTCAGAAACGTTGCGATGTGTTGTTTTCTACAGAGATACGTGCGCAGATTCACAGAATTGACTGCCAATACCATACGACGATATCGTTCCATGAAACGGATGCTTCCACCAATAAAACGTAGAGATGGATAAGCCTCCCGCGTTCAGAGACAACTCCTTGCACCACCGTAGCAAGCGGCCTCGTCAGCAAGACTCTCACGAATCGAATTCCACGTCAGGAAGGCGGTATGTTGTAGCCGTGCACGTGGGAGCGGGTTACCACTCCAAGCGTTACGAGCAGCGGTATCTGCGCGCCATGCGCGACGCCCTCGCAGCCGCGGAGCTGGTGTTGCGCGGAGCTGGCGGAACATCGGCGGAAGGGCAGCGAGGAGAATGCGCGGGGGCGGGAGAAGCAGGCCGATTAGACGCGAAGAATCGTGCATCTGCGCCGGGTTCGGGTTTGGACCGCTGCTGTTCGTCCACGTGTACGGCTCTAGATGCTGTCGTGGCAGCCGTTAGATGTTTAGAGGTGCGCTCACGTGTTTCAGTTTACACATATCTGTGTGACCTTCTTGTGTGTTTATCCATTGATTCTGTGCGACACTTCTCGTCC